CGCGCCCGCAGCCTCCGCAGAGCCCGTCCCAGCCCAGCGCAGCACCAGGGCACGCAGGCAGCGGAGCGCAGCGCGCAGCAGGAGCCACCGTCCTTGTCCCCAGCTCCCGGCAGGCAGCTCTCAGAACCCAAGTTAAGGTGTTCAAATGGCAGAAAATCATTTTAGTGTGACACTGTTTTTTCCGCCGCTTTCATGAGTTAATTCAAGCGTGCTTTGAGTTGCTGCAGCAGTACCTGCTTTTCAGCCCACTAGTGAAGAAAGCGGCTCGTGTTTAGACCGGATTCTTGATGAAGTATTTCTTTTGGGAACAGTCAATAGCATCTGCTCCGCGCTGAAGACAACAGCACAGTCTGTTCCACAGCGTTTTCCTCTAACGCGATAACTACAACCAACTGCTAGAACATTAGGATTAAAGACATTTGGTCTTTTTTTTATTTTTAATTTTTTTTTTTTACTGTGGAACAGAGAATTATCATCAGCTTATACTAAACCCACTACTACTTATCTTGAATAAAACGCACCAGAGAAGCAGCAAACTCCCCTGAACAGCAGCAGACGGCACAAACCATAGTTTGAAGTTTACGGCTCCAGGAAAGCTCCCTGCCATCACACCCAAACCCCGTGACTTTCCAAGCACTGCTCAGCGTTTAACAGGTCTTTATCCAGATACAAACAACAAGAGGGGGTGTCCCTTCTCCCGTCCTTCACACAGCAGCTCTGGGTGCTGGAGGACTGGAGGGGAAGGGAGAACAGAGGGTGTCCTGCTGTCCCCAAATGCCACCTTCCGTCACCCTCCTTGAGGCCAAGCGGTGGGGGGCCAAGGGGCCGCTGCTCCTTACACCACAAAACCTCCCAGAAGCATCACGCAGGACCGCAGCATCGTTGCCCGACTCCACACACCAACACCCAAACACTGCAGCTCGAAACCGAGCCAGCAGAGAGGGGGTTAAGCCACAGAAAGGCCCCCGAGCCCACCGTTGCGGGGGGACACACACGTTCACAGCAGAAGGGCACGCTCCTCCTGCCATGTGGTTCTGTAGCTTTCAGCATCTCCTTTACGCATGCCCCATTTCTGCAGGAGGCACCGGTGCTGTGTAGAGGGTTTCTGCTGCAGTAGCACCGACAGGCTTCCACGTAGAGCCGGGAATCCGGCCGCTCCTCACTACCCAAGGTGCACTAGCGCTTCTCGATAAAAGTATCTTTTAAGCAGCAAAGATGCAGAGGGTGACCCAGAGCCTGGTAATTGCATCCCTTGAGGGGCTTTGGGGTGTCTCCTGCTTCAGCTGGACTGAAACACCAGCATTTGACACCACAACGAACATGTGCAGCCTGGAGGAGAGAAGGCTCCGGGGAAACCTTCCAGCAGCTTCCAGTGCTGAAAGGGGGCTACAGGAGAGATGGGGGGGCTCTGGATCAGGGGGCGCAGGGACAGGACGAGGGGGGACGGGGTTAAAGAGGGGAGATGGAGATGAGATGTGAGGAAGAAATGTTTTCCTGTGCGGGGGGTGAGGCAGTGGCCCAGGGTGCCCAGAGAAGCTGTGGATGCCCCATCCCTGGAGGGGTTCAAGGCCAGGCTGGATGAGGCTTTGGGCAACCTGGGCTGGTGGGAGGTGTCCCTGCCCATGGCAGGGGGTGGCACTGGATGGGCTTTAGGGTCCCTTCCAACCCAAACCAGTCTGTGATTCTATGATTTCTCTTTCCCAAATCTTTTTATCCAAATGACTGCTGCTGCATTTGCTCAGCTACGTGACCTGATCTCATTGCGTGCAGCAAGCCTGCTCCCTCGCCTCACACCGTGAAGCCTGGCCATGGGGACAGCGCGAAGCATCGCTGCTCTGAAAAATGGGATGTGAAACCTGCTGTCGGAAATCACCAAATACCTGCACAACTTGGGCCCTCACAAATCCCCGAGGGGTGGGAGCATGACCAGGGACACGGCTGAGCCGCTCGCGATGGATGGCATCTGGGCTCCCCCGGCCACGGCTGCGTAAAATTCAATTACAGCTGAACAAAGACAGCAAATCCCAATGGAAGAAGTGTTTTGGTGCAGAACAGAAACACAGCCACAAATACAGCAGTGGCTCAGCTGGAAAACAAACCTCTGTCCTCCTGCCGACGCTTCCCCACCCGCTCACCAGCAGCACAGGCACCCCGGGGCCAGCGCAGGGCTTCGCCTGGGTGCCCTCTGCTCAGCTCTTCCTGAGGGACAGTTTCCCTTTTGTTTTGTTTAATGGTTTCAATCGTTGCTCTCAGTTTGCTCAGAGTGGAGAACCAACTCCACTGCCCTTTCCTCCCAGAGACGACGTGGCTGCTGACCCAGCGGCTCCACCAGCCTTTGCCCATCACCCTTCGCACCGACGCTTCCCCCTCCTGGGCTTCCCAGTCCATCGAACACGATCATTCTCATTTTCTTTCTTTAGAACAAAATTATTGATGTAATTTCTCCACCCAGCCCAAGACTTGCAGCACGCTGTCAGGCCAGGCAGAGCCTCTCTCAGCCCCTGAGGTCCAGGATCTCGCTCAGGAAGGGAATTCCAGGGAGCGCAGAGGTTTCACCCTCTTTGCCGGTGCCATTCCACAGCCAGGCTACCAAGCAGCACCCTGGCTTCCTACTTACACGGGACAGAAGCAGTCAGACCATCTTCACCGCCATCCCTATCAGACAAACCCAGGGGCTCACCAGCCCGTGTGAGGAACCATCCGTCAGCGGCACGGCCACTGCTGGGAGCAGCCGCTCCTGTCCGAGCTCCCCTGGGCACAGACCGCTCCCCCCACAGCCCCAGGCACCTCCTTGGCAGATATGACGCCATCCCACAGGCACTGAGGCGATGCCATGTCCAGAGGAATGCACCAAAAAATGGGCAAGATCCCTGCAGGCTGCATGCAGAGTCACCACAACACAAATAGCAAAGTTCCTTCCAGACGTGGTGCCCACACGCGTGACACTCTCCTGCCACCTGCCCCCTCCGCTGGTCCCTACAGCCAGCGGCTCTCAGCATCCCCAGGGAGGACGTGGCCCTGGTCCGGGCGCTCCTCAGCCCCAGATCTGCCCCATCTCCTGTCTGAGGGACGTGTCCCTTTGTCACGCTCGTGTTCATGGCCTCACCCAGCAGAAGGCAGGTGTTCCTAACGGGGGTGAATAATCAGAAACTACATAAAGGAGGATCCATCCCCGCAGAGGGGTTAAATCCCAGCAGGTCTCCATGCCTCTGCCTTAAATAACCAGGAGATACACGAGCTCTTCATTCTTATTCACAATGGCTGCTTCAACTGCATTTGATTAATATTTTCTTCCTAAGGCATATGATTGCAATTAGCATTTCAAATTACCACGGGGACATCTCCACAAACAGCCACAGATGGGAGGAGTGCTAACTTTAGCTTTCCCTCTGCGAGAACAGGAGCCAGGAGGAGGGGAGAGGCTGCTCGTGAAGCGCCCGAGCGCTGGTGCCGTGCTCACAGATTTTGGCCCTGCGAAGCTCTGACCCTTTTTGTCACGCGGCGTTTCACAAGGAGCTGCTCCGCAGGGCACAGCCGAGGCACGAGCCGCTCGAGTGCCGTTGTGTGAAGACGCAGGAGCCGTCACCTGCTCCTGGTTCGTTTGCTCCCCGGAGGGGAGAGGCTGCTCGTGAAGCGCCCGAGCGCTGGTGCCGTGCTCACAGATTTTGGCCCTGCGAAGCTCTGACCCTTTTTGTCACGCGGCGTTTCACAAGGAGCTGCTCCGCAGGGCACAGCCGAGGCACGAGCCGCTCGAGTGCCGTTGTGTGAAGACGCAGGAGCCGTCACCTGCTCCTGGTTCGTTTGCTCCCCGTAACGGGAGCGCACAGAAAGCACCGGAGCCAGTGAGTCACTCCTGATCCTACCCACGACAGCGGGGAACGATTCCTTCAGTCAAAGCTCTAAATCAGCCTCCTCCCGTCTCCAAGGGGCACAGACCGTGGAGCGAAGCCGTGGCAGGGACACGGCCGGCGTGGGGGAACGGCAGCCTGGCCTGCAGCACCTGCCACGGGTGGGATGTCGCTCGGATGAGGCCAACCTGAGCAGGGATGGCTCCAGGAAAGCACGCCGGACCACAGCTGGACCGGGCTGATGGTGGGTATCTCAGCGCGGCAGGAACACCCAGCGCCCACGCTCTCCCGGACAAGGCACATGGAGGGTCTGGCCTGGGGCAAGCTCTGGCCTGGGGCAAGCTCCGGCCCCTGCAGCTGAGGCTGGGGACAGGCTCAGGGACAGCCCGTCACCGCCAGCTTTGCTCCGCAGACACCAGAGCTGGCAGCCAGCCCCAAACTGCCACCATTTACACCATGGGGTGTTAGAGGAGAGCTGTTCGAGAGCGCAGGAGGAGCGAGCAGCCATCCCAGCCCCACTGCCCGTCCCAACACTGCCGCCGCGCCGGCCGATCCCCCGACTCACCGTCGGCCACGGGCGCTTTCACAGGCTCAATCCTGGACACGATTTCTGCCAGGTCCGTGAAGGAGGTGGTGGGACAGGTCACGTTCTGAAACACAACGATAAGTTTTAGGTACATTAACAAATATCCACAAAGAATCCAAACATTTTTATCATACAAAAATCACATTGAACAGACAGAAAGCTCCAGACACACAAATTCTGCACAATTGCCCCCTCAAAACCATTACTCATCAGTGAGTGATTCACAGAACAACTCCCCTGATGCAGGTCTGGTGGCAGAGATGGGATTCCCAAGTGCAAACAGCGGGATAACCTCTAACGGCTCCTTCTCTACACAACACGAAGCCTTATTAAAAATTTAGCAAACGATAGAAAAGCCCACAAAGACAGAACCTGCAGGCGCTGGACTCCGTGACTGTGCTCGTGTCGCTTGCTTGCTCTCCATCAGTGTATAAGAGGGACCAGCTGGGGCAGGCGCAGCCCCCAGGGAGCTTTCTCCTTCCCCTGGGAGCAGAAAGGACGGCGGGTGGGACACAGCCCGTGGACCAGCCCGGAGCCTGCGAAGCGATGCCGTGGGACGCTGCATGGATGGGTGGGCAGCAGCCTGGGCACGGGGGTGACCAGGACCCGCCGGACCCCAGCAAGCCGCAGAGCTGGAGCGGCTGCATCGCATATTTCCCACTGTCGCTCCTCTTTTCAATTAACCCTTTCTGGTTTCATCACTCTCACCCGAGCAGCGGGTTGAGTGTTCTCTGTCTGAGAAGCTGCCTGCTCCAGTTTCTCTTCTAATTAACCCCAACTCCGGCATTTAGGAACCACTTAGTTCCTCCCGCATGCCGTGCCGCGAGCAGCCCTCCCTGCCTCCGCAGGGCCAGGCACAAGGTCACCAGATGGAAGCCTGACCATCCCTCACCTTATTTGAAAATCCGGGATTTTGATCAGTCCAAGAGCACACACCCCCGGAGGAGAGAGCCGGGGAAGGGCTGGCAGGGGGCACGGCATCGGGCTGCCGGGAATCGCTGTGACAGTCTAACCTGTCCACGTGCTCCCCGACAGGATGGTTTGCTAACACAGGGTTTTTATGAGCAATTCTTTGCTCTTCTGGTGAGAGCACAGGTACTATGAGTCATACAGCCCCTGGGGGGGTCACAGCAGAAGCCCATTACAGCTGCAGCGCATCGCTCTCCGTTGACCTTTAATCCGTAACGAACTTTTGATATAATTTGGCACAGCTAAAGCAAGGTGTGGATCTGGGACAAGCAGCTGGTGGGGAGCGATGGACAGAGAAAAGCCCAGGGGGAATTAAAAAATGCCTGTACGAAATGAAAGAGCAGCAGCTCAGGACACATGCTTTAGAATATAGCGAAGTCGGGAAGCTCAGAAGCTCAGTTTGCCCATTAAGCAACCATCAAGAAGGGTGAGTCAGCCCAGCCTCACTCCGAACATCCGACCCAAATGGTCCCAGGGAAGTGTTTGCAGGAGGCTGTTCCCCAGGATAGGAGGAAAAAAAAGCACCTACACCTTCATTTGGTGCCATATGACTAAGCCAGGGACATGGGCAGACTCTGGCCACCAAGCAGACGCAGCAATGTTCGGGGCAATCTGAAAACACAGACTCTTACCCAGCGGCTGCGCCCCGCGCCCCGGCAGACAGGCGCCCGGCTGTCCTGGGGAGCGCAGAGCCAGCGGGACGGGGTGCGGAGGGGAGGAAAGCCCCAGGCACCCCCGAACGCTGGTCACAACCCTGCAGTGACCTTCGCCAAGGGCTGCTTCAGGAAAGCACCATCAGCTCCCGCAGACGAGGTGTGAGGACAGACGAGTAGGAACACAACCGTAGGTGTGACCGTACCACGGGAGCATCTGTCGCGGCCGCTGACACGCAGACCACCCTGCGAGGGCACACTCGGGGAGGCTGCTGCACCCCAAACTCTGAGCCCTGACACCCGAACGCCACTTGCAGGAAAGCAGGTGTCTGCCCACGCTGGCCTGATGCTTTGCAAACAGGAACGTTATGTTTGAACGCTTCCTCTTACTACTTCTCAGGACAAACCCACCCTGTCCTCAGGTAACACCAGGCAAAGAAGTGTCTCAGATTCATTTGAAACCTACTCTAAAACCTTTCTGCTGATTTTTTTTTTTTCCCAAGGAGGAAAGTATTCTCTTTGGCACAATCTTTATTAAATAAATTAGAGGAGAAAGACAGTTACCATTGTAGTCTGCTGGATTATATTTAGCTTTGACTATGAATAACACTTCAGCAGACAAAACTTCCCCGAGGAGCTCCAATTAACGGTATCGCTTTATTCTGTGCTGGAAGAGCGAGGGCTGCTCAGGTGAAGTTCCTGTAAGGTTGCTGCTGTTTGTGTCTTCAGTATTTGCATTTTTGAGGCAAGAGAAACAGTGATTGAATGATGAAAGCAACAGAAAGTATGTAAATTATTAAATATCTGGAGTTTTTAAGTAAAAATTCAATGCTTGCGACATGGAAACAAGATGAGAAGAACCTGCGCTCAGCTCTCAGATGTTGAACGCTCCAGAAATAGCTGAAGAACTGAAACAAATAGAGCATCAAAACCTCCGCTAATGAAAGGCAGGTTAAAAATATCAGCTGTTGTCCCTGGAAGATAGCAGAGCTGAAGGACTTAAGTGACTCTAATGGACTAAGAAAGAAAAAGACAAACACCCCTGTGGGAGCCCGCAATACCTGCTGTTTTGTAGAAATAAATCTACTGAAACAGAAGCCAGATGAAAAATATCTTGGTTTTTACTGGACTCAAGTTTTCTGAGGCAGAGCAGAAGATCTCCCGGGTCCTTGGGAGCACAGCCTGGACCTGAGCCTCAGCGCCAGGCGGGGGGAACGCACAGAGCTGGCGGTTCCCGCTCCATAACCCGGGCGGTTGGTTGAGTCGCTCCCCTGAACCCATTATTTTCACGCCCTTGGTGGCTCAGCCATCAGCACTTTCTGCCCTGTTCCCAAGTGCATACACAGAAATGCAGTGACGGGCTTTGTCTGCAGTACTGGACCTCCAGGAGAGCCGAGGGGCTGTACAAGCCAGGGGAGATTGTGACAGACGTTCAACGTGCTGCTTGATGCACAGCTGGAACATCGCGATGTAACTGAAATACCAGCCTGAATTACTGCATCCCATCTAATGGGCCATTTTAAAAGAAGTCTTTGAAAGCAGCACTTGCTACAGCGATGAATATGTGTGAGGGTATTACCGAAGCAGTAAAAGTTAGGGGATGAAGCAGGACATGGAACCATTTCTGAGACACGCGCAATCTTCTCTCCCTTGACTTCTCCTTACGACTGTTAACGCACATGAACAAACACAGATCAGCTTATCACCAGCCTGAACACGCGGTGTCAGAGGCAGAATGGGGACCCGTCTCCGCAGCTCAGATTAAAGTATCTCCTAGTCCACGTCATCTCCCCAGCAAGAACAACCTGATGAGTTTTGGGGCTCCCCAGGCTGCTCGGATCACCGGCTCCTTCCCACAAAGCTCAGTCCCTCCGTGCTCCTCCTGCAGCCACTCACCCTGCCGGCGGCTTGGGTGGGATCCTTCCCATGGCAGGAACTCACCCGCGTTAGTCCCCTTGGCTCCCGTCACGCAGCCAGAGCCGAGGTGCCATTCATCTTATCCCAATGGAGCCACTTCAGCAAGTGACTCACACCCTACAGAGGCTCACCTCCGGTGACAAAGGGGCTCTAGGACACCTGGCTCGGATGTGGGCATCATCCGCCCCCCACTGCTGGACTAATGCCCATCCCTGCCCTTCCCCTCCCCTTGCTCCCACCATCTCCCTCCCAGCCCAAGTGCTCCACCACCCATCTCTGGAAGACCTGCCAACCCTCAATGTCATTTTTCACCTCTATTGGCTTCTTTTAGTGAGGCTCACTACAGTTACGACACATTTTGGCAATCACTTAAAATATTATTGCTCATTTCCCTATCCCTAAAAGACAATAAAGATGAATTACTGGGTAAAACATGAAGTCTTTTGTAGCACTTGGCTTTTAAACCGCAGGAATTCAAAGGAGGATAAGGATAATAAGCCAATATATTATAATATTGTGCCCAAGTCCTCAAAAAGGTGATAACTGTCTCTTAAAAGCAACTGGAACTTCCCCGCCAGGAAATTCAGTCAGCCCACTGAGTTATGAACCAACTCTAGAAGCTAATCTCAGCCCTTAAACTGTAAAACCAAGAGAATTTTATCCTACTTTTAAGCAGAAATCTTAAACGGGACTGTAAGCACCCAGCAGTACCATGCAGCCGGTAGATTTACCATCAGCAAGCACTCACCAAACTGCCCACTAACCGCTCGGGGTGCTGAAAAGGGCAGAACGAGGTGTGTGAAACCCAGAACCTCAACAGTGCCGTGAGCTTCCGTGGAGCCTCACTGACGGGTCCACAAAATGCCTTTTCTGATAGAGGAGCGAGGAGCAAAAGCCACAACGGCAGAAATCCATGGCTTTGTGGGGATTTGAACTCTTGCCTAAAAACACAGCTCCAGGGAGGGTTTCATTCAGGTTTTCTGGAAGCATCTGAGAACTACTTGAGTCACATCCCGAAGGCCAGCAATGGCCGAGATCAACACCAGCGACCCCGATTCATGTCCTCCGTGACCAGCCCTGGGTGCTGGTGGTAGAGAGCCCCTGCCCTGGCAGAGCAGCTTCTAGCAGCAAGAACAATATCCAGGTACCACCTGAAGCTTGTGGCACAAGAAGAAATGAAAAATAATTCTTAAAAGGTTACTTGTGCCTCCCCAGCATCACTCATGGAAGCAATCCACGTGGGCATTCCCACGATGGGTACGAATGCAGCCCATCACCTGAACCCACGGAGCATCCTCTCTCCCAGGACCTGGGGACACAGCCAGAGTCCCCACCCAGCGCTGGGTGCGGCCGGCAGCGGTTAGTGCCCTCAGGGCTGCTGAGCACCCAGGGAAGGAGGAGAGAAAGGTGGGTGCGCAAACACAGACACATCAGCTACGGGTCTCAGAAAATGCTGGTTACTGGTGAGCATCCCGCCCTCCTTCAGGGACATCTGTGTTGTGAACGATTCCAGGTCACAAACACGGTGAGAATGAGACAGCAGCAGCAAAGCTGCCCTCCAGAGCGCTGCATTGATTCTTGGGTTTCAAAAACTGCATCATACGGGCTGAGGATATGGAGGGATCTCTGCACGGCCGTGCATCCGCTGTCAGGGATGGACAGACAGACAGCAGGGCTGGGGCTCCGGCAGAGCACGCTTGGGCCACACTTGTACCTGCTGATCAGAGTGGAGGAGCTTGTTCATCCAAGCTATGGTTCAAGGAAAGAAGTTTCTGAAAAACTGATGGTACTTTTTCTTGCCTAAATCACAGTTTTAACTAATCCCTGCCTGCTCACAGGAAGGACTCGAGGCAGTTGATCCTCCTCCTTTGTGCTCCTGCCCAGTTCCGAAGCTCTTGCAGAACAGCACATTTACCGCGAACACTTACGTCCGTTTTGGATTTGCAGGTCTCTTGCCTGTCTTTCAGCATCTTGTCCAGGACTCCACTCCTGCACCAGACATTAAATAAGGTTTTCCCATGCTGATATCCCACTTCCTGGAAAAAAAAGAATCAAGGAGAAAAAAAAAACATAATTAATAACTAAAAAACCATTATGTCACATCAAAAAACAGGAAATCCAGAGCTCTTCCCCAAAACCAGGATGTGCTTTTGCTGCCTTCCAGCCTCAGCTACGTAAGCAGTTCAGCCTAAGACTCCGGGAACGATGAAGCAAACAAGAGGCTATTTTAAGTCCAAATGCTAACCTGACCTTTGACCCCACGGTATGCGTGGAAAAGTGCCACCTGACACAACTATTTTTACATTCAAGCAGGCTGCTCCCAGGATAATGCCATACGAAGTGAGGCTCAGGACGCATACGTCTGCTCCTTTCCAGCACAGGCTCTTTCTTCATTAATAAAATTCATTAATTTTGGCTCAAGTCTGGCAACAGAAAGTTACCATAGGGCACCTGGTTCCAAAATCTCCTGCAGTGAGTTAAGCCAGACAGCACTGAACACGGCAGCGTTCATTCGCTGGAGCAGAAAGGATGACCCATGGACAACAACCCCACAAACACCACGTTCCGCTAATTTCACAGTGTAAGGGATGTGGGCTGGGAATGATACCATGGTGCTGTGTCCTAGCGTGGAAACAACCGGAAAAAATAAACCGATTGCTCCAAGTTCTCCTCTTTTTCTAACAGGACAGTAGAAATGCTGTTGAAAAATCCATTTGAAAGGAGCGAGCAACAGGTGTCAGGAGTCCCGGGTCCTATTTCCAGCTCTCGCCCTGGCAGCTCGTGCTGAACTTCAGGCTCGTGGGGCAACTCCGAGTGCCGGGAGCAGCCCTGGCTGAGCTGGGATTGCCTCTCCGCTGGTTTTTGGAGCAGAGTCCAAAGCACAGGAGGCACTCGGGCTGGAATTCACCTCTCGTCATCTACGGTAGCCTCTCAGCACAGGGTGGGTGTGATTGTTCAGGAGGAAAAGGGTTTTGACAGATCTCCAGCTGGCTGGGTCAGCCTGATCCAAAAGAACCACGAGAACCTGAGCTTTGGGAAACGACACGCAGCCGACCTACCATTCCAGGCTGGGACAGAAGAGGGGATTCTTGTTCTTTTGAATGTGCTGAGTGGTTACGTGGTGCCCGTTTCTGTCTCCTGTAAAATCCAGGCACAGAGGTGAAATAACACCCCCACTGCTTCCCAGCCTATAGCCGCAAAGGAACGCCCGGGATGCTCTTTAAGGTCAGCACAGCGCAAAGCTCCCCTGCGGACAGAAGTTCTTTAGCTGCACTGCAGGGAGGGCAGCTCCAGGAGGGTGCTGTCCCGCAGCACCTGCAGCGGCTCGTGCCAAGAACCTGCTCTCAGAAAGCGACAACTTTGAGAAACTGCGCTTTTCTCCAGTTTTATTCCACTGAGAAAAATCTGCCTGGCATCTTTAAATCTCTTTAACGACACCAAATTAGACAGAACAATGATTTGACAGCTTACTGCCTGGTGCTGTGGGGACCAGACCCATTTGTCACGGTTTTCAGAACGGCCAGGGCAACCATCGAGGGAAGAATATTATTCATCAGCAAAGTCTTCGCTCCACCCTTGGCAGACAGCACCGTTTGCCCAGGAGCTATGAGACACCAAATATCCTTGAGAAAATATTTACATTGGGAAAATCAGCTGGTGGCTTGGAATAGCTGCCGCTTGGTCCTTAGGACTGTCAGGTGCGACTCTGCTGGGCTTCACGGTATTACTGGTTTGGTTTAGTGTTTATAACACAGTACCAGGGAAACCCATCTGCAGCCTCACGAGTATTGTAGGTTCTCAGACTTAAAGAAGAATTGGCAGGGGGTGGGCGCGTTTTCAGTGATGCAGAAACACCTGAAGATGGAAGATGCTGCCATGGCTGAAGCAAAGAATAGCAAGAGCCGGGAAAATTACTTAACCAGAGGCAATGAGCCAGAACTGCCGTCGTTCCCTCAGCCTGGGCAGAGATGGGTTTGTTGGTGTCACTGGGGCAACTCACGTGCACAGCTGGGGTCAGTTCCATCCGTGCTGGTTCCTGGTACATAAACAAAACTAATCCCAGAGACACGTAACCTGGTCCTACCCCAACGACAGCGTCCTTCCGCTGACATTGGTGCCATGTTCCCGGTACTCCATCAGGTGCAGAGGAATTGTGGATGATGTTTTATTAATAGAAGTGTTGAAACGTTAGCTGAGCTGGATATTCTAGCATGTTGCCCTCCAGTTTCAGTGATTCACAGCCTTCCCTATAGACTTCTTCAAATCTTTCACGTGACAACAAGCTCCGTAACGAAGGGACAGAACTGACACCATCTGACAAACCCCAACTGCCCACAGCAGCTCAGCCACCCAGGAGGTTTTACCACGCAGCTGAGCAAGAATTGTCAGGAAACAGAGCGAGGCAACTGATCCGTTCGCAGGTCGTTAGACAATCACGATTACTAACTCTAATTTCTGCCGTTAATCCAACCTCACAGCCATGGTGTCATTCCAGAGCATTATTTAGCGTCAATTATCCCCTCTGTGCCAACTGACTTCTTTTACTCTCCAGCAGCTTGGGTGCTAATCAGCACCACAGACCAGCAGATCTCTGCACATGGGGGAACTGCCTTCCCCAGGACAGACTTACACAGATTTCATCGAATTTCCCGAAGTCCAGGGTGCCGTATCGGTCGATGGGCGGCCGGATGTACTCGCAGTAATCGCTGTTCTTCACCATCTCCAGCTGCCGCACACAGCACACGTACGCAAGCCGCGTCTGGATCTCGGCCATATTCAGCACCTGCCAACCAGGCCAGACACACCAGTCATGATTAATTCAGAGACTGAATTTCAGAATACCTTCTGTAGTCACAATGGAAAAAAAGCAAATTATCTTTTTTTTTTTTCCTCCAAGAGCACACAGAAGCCTGCTGAAGCCTTCACACATCAGCACCTCCATCTGTGCCCAGGCAGCGTGGACAGCTAGCCATGAGTCTCCATAACCAACAGCAGATAAGGGAATTGCCTTCACACTTATTTCTGCAGCTCAGGGTTGAACAGAGTCTTTCATTCCAGGACACAGTGGTACCTTAAGAGAGAGATCTGTGCTGAGGTGAGAGGGGCACAGGGATCCTTACAGACAGAATCCCAGGATGGGTTGGGCTGGAAGGGACCCTAAAGCCCATCCAGTGCCACGCCCTGCCATGGGCAGGGACACCTCCCACTAGCCCAGGTTGCCCAAAGCCTCATCCAGCCTGGCCTTGAACCCCTCCAGGGATGGGGCATCCACAGCTGCTCTGGGCACCCTGGGCCACTGCCTCACCACCCGGGAAAATCACCCAGAAATCAGTGATGATCTCCCCAGTGCCAGGGCAGGGATTCTGCAGAATGGCTGAGGCTGGCAGGGACCTCCCGAGATCGTCTGGTCCAACCCTCCCAGCTCAAGCAGGGGCAGCGGGGACAGGTCGTCCAAGACCACATCCAGCTGAGTGTTGAGTACCTCCACAGATGGAGACCCTACAATCTCTCTGGTTGGCCAGCGTTTCACCACCCCCAGTAAAAAAAAGTGTTTTCTGGTGTTGAGAAGGAATCCCATGCTTTCCTGTGTGCCTACTGCCACTCGGGTAGTGGTAACATTTTAGTGGGCACTACTGAGAAGAGTCAGGGTGTTCCATTTTCCCCCACCAAACACTCCCAGTTCATGCTGGGAGCAGCATGGGCAGCTCTGCCAAGGCACGGCAGGGCACAGCACAGCTACACCAGCTCCGAAAGGCCACTTCTCAGGGAGCCCAGAGCTTTTTGGGGTTATCACAGAGGAAAACTTTAGATTATAGAGCAGTACCCACAGCTTGAAGTATTTTCCCCAACTTTGGGAAGCACAAACTTTTACTTCCAATTCCAACAGGACAATGTGTTAATTGTAGTTGGGAGGGAAGAAGAAAAACCAGCATTCACCTGGGGGACAGCTGCAGAGCCAGGTAATTTAGGAAGTGCAGAAGAGTAAGAAAGAGTTGGCCTGACTGCATGTGGCAAGACAAAAACACCCCTCGTGCTCTGCAGCTCCACATTTACCAGTAGCAGTGATGTTAATTACCGCCTAGTGCTAAAATCTTCCTAAATCAACTGTTCAGAGACATGTTGGATAGAAACACTGAATTGGACAAAGTTACTTCTTTTATTGGTAAAATTTGTAATTCTGACTTTACCGAAACTGAGTGCACCTCTAAGAAAAGGTTTCTTTGCTCTAATAATTTTACAGCCCCCCTCCCAGACTGGGGCTCTACCCTCTCCCATGTCACTGCCTTTCCCTTGGTGACAGGGCACTGCCCCACTGCCTTCGTCCATGAGCGAGAGCTGAAACCCAAGGAAGAGGATGGTCTGTCACCAGGCTTGCTCGCTGGGTGAACAAGGGGAAGCTTCCAGCTCCGTACCTAAAACCAGCTGCCATTTACACATAGCCTACAGTACCTTGACTTTCTCAGCCAGCGGGTTCCACCTCTTCCAGAGCAGCCACCAGCCAGACAAGCAGTCGCCGTAGTTGGTGAGGTCTGTCTCGTCCCGGCTCCCCACGTCGATGGCGATCACGACCTTGGCGCCCATGGACCTCGCAACATCGGCTGGTGGGAAAGGAGATCGTGTCAGTGCCGGTGCTTGGCCAAGGCTTACATACGTACTGTGAGAGTGTATAACCTGACATCGTACCTACTGCGAGCATCTCTGAACGGCATTGGGTACAAACATTGGCAGCAACTCTGCCACGAAACCATTGACCCCCCCCCGGAGGTTCCTGCCCTGCTCTGGTTTAATGGCCAGACCCCAACGTGCTGCCTGCTCCATACCCACCGAGCCCGGGTACAACTCAGGGTGAGATCCCACTGCGGAACTGCTGGTAAGCATCACTGCCCTGGATCAGTGGGATGACCTGACTCTGAGGTGACGCTGTCACCAGAACCTGGGTGAAGGCAGCAGCAGAACTGGGTGGGGAGCTGGGGGGAGGAGGTGGGACACGCACAGCTCGAGTCTAGTCACACGACATTAGGTGTCATGTATAGAGCACACTAAAACCACACTAATTCTACCTCGTGCAGCAGTTCTCATGAGAACAAAAGACCCAGGGGACACAGAGAGAACAAGGGGCAGTGGCCTTAAGGAGGAGAGCTGGCAGTGCAGGGTCACCCTGGAGATGGAGGGAATGGAGGAGAGGAGCAGATGGGAACCGGACAGCAGGGCCAGGCTGGGAGGGTATCAGTTTACAAAAAGCTTTGGGATCATAGAACCACAGGATGGTTTGGGTGGGAAGGGACCTTAAAGCCCATCCAGTGCCACCCCCTGCCATGGGCAGGGACACCTCCCACTAGCCCAGGTTGCCCAAAGCCTCATCCAGCCTGGCCTTGAACCCCTCCAGGGATGGGGCATCCACAGCTTCTCTGGGCACCCTGGGCCACTGCCTCACCCCCCGCACAGGAAAACATTTCTTCCTCACATCTCATCTCCATCTCCCCTCTTTCAGCTTCAAACCGTTCCCCCTCGTCCTGTCCCTGCACCCCCTGATCCAGAGCCCCCCCATCTCTCCTGTAGCCCCCTTTCAGCACTGGAAGGCTGCTAGAAGCCCTCCAAGATTCATATTTGGAAGGGGGAAAGAAATGAGGCAACACTTCCTACTTCAAGGTCAGTAAAAGGACTGGCTGCAGCCTTTAGATATGGGCGAGGATTCTGGGAAGTGCCAGGGGAAGGAAGAGAAGGACATGTACTTCACAGAACAAATTTCTATTTCTTCCACACCCCCAGAGTCCAAGATAGTTGCCGTTTCCAGAATAGTTATGCGTAGGAAAACCACAGCTCTGAAGAGCCAATTTTGATGCTTAATTTAGAAATGTATTTAAATCAGATCTGTTCTATAACTTGGATTTTTATTCCTGGGCTCGTTCAGCCGATTGTACCTCTTCCACCCAGAGTCACCCGCGTGCGTGCTCTTTGCCCTCCCCAGTATGCGCACAGACACAACCAGGGAAGGTCAGATACAGATTTCGGGGGTCTATTTGGGGTTGTTTCCATTTCTGGTTTTTAGGAAATACAGCCCTCGCGGAAAAATATAGTCTGGGTTTGTCTGGAACATGTAAGTGATTTTGGTTGCTCAGATGCGGAGTCTCTAGCTCAGATCCTTCCTCTTCATCTGTACACAACTATAGTCCCAAACTGCAGTGACACCACACATCCCCCTCCTATCCTGGCCGCCCTCCTGAGCCACCCACTCTCCAGTGCTTCCCGACTACGCTGACAACCCAGACATCAAACCCATCCCAAAGCCACACAAGTGGATTCACACACCCTGGACCCTTCTGGGTTCAGTCCTCAAACACCCCAAACTCCACATCACCCTTCTGAACGCCCTGGATCCCACCTCTGCCGCGTGCTGGCAGCTGACCGAGACACCGACGTCCGTCAGCTGAACCCTTCGGGCTCTGGGTGAGACCATCTGAACAAGTTAATCCTGCTGCCTTCTCAGAAATACTTATTCAACCGATACTTTTCGAAAACAAACTCAAAGACAGACTACATGTTTGCAGTTTGATTTCTGCTCTCTCCTTTCGGTGAGCACTAAAGTAAATTCAAAATTAGCTTGGAATGATATGTTCAGAATATGTCTATTAGGAAATACTTCATAACAAAAAATAGTCTTAATAAAGCCATGATAAAGCAAACACCTAGCAAACTGAGAAGAATGACTCCTGGCAACCATCAGGAGATTAAAGGTGTTGGCAATATTTCTCCTTGTCTCCTTTTTTGGAAAAAAAAAAAAAAAAAAAGACAAAGCTTTGCAGGCTGTTTGATGGGCTGTGTTCTCAGTACCTTCTTCCCAACCCATCTGTGCACCTACCGGGGAGATTGTTGATGTAACCTCCATCCATCAGGAGATGCCCATCCTTCGGGTCGCAGAGGGGAGGCATGTACCCCGAGAGGGACATGCTGGCGCGGACGTACCTCCACAGCGAGCCTGCAGGGACGAGAGGGAGGAACGCAACAGCGTTGGTGGGGCAGGCTTCTGCACTCGTTAAAGTCACCGGGAGATGGAGGTTCTCCGGAGAATATCGTAGAAAGTTATTAAAGCAGTTTATTATTTTCTACACCATAATCCTGGCTAGGGGGGGCAGAAAAAAAAAAAAAGGCTGTTCAGACATACAACCAGGCAAAGGCTTAGAAACCCCAGTTTTAAGCCCACGCCTCGTATTTATTGCTTTCAAGGAGATTTCAGCATATTCCTGACGGCGGGGATCATCCTTAGCGCTTTGTTGAGCTTACGCTGATCAGGAGAGGAAAAGGCTCCTCCTGGGGACAAAGGGGTAGAAAGAATAAGCAGATTGAAGTGCAGCTAAAGCCATTATGTTCTACAGAGATACACAAAATACAGACTTTTAGCAGGAGCTGAACATAAAAAATACACCCTGTAGAAGCCCAAAAATCCTGTTCTCCTTGCTCTGTAATAAGCGAATGCTTTCACTTGTAAAACCTGTGCAAGCGCGCGGTGGTGATCTTATGTCTTCTTCAGGCGTTTCTGTTTATAGTGCTGCAAGGAAGAAAGTTATAATCTTTTAAGCTGCTAGAAATAGAAAGTTTAATCAAGTAGAAATTGATTGGATGTGTTTCCTGTAAAACATTCTGCTTTAAGGCTGTTATTTACTGGTTTCTCTTTAACATTTGCATCAGCTGAACTGAGGAGACACGGCACTCCCAAGGAGGCCAAGAGTCTTGTCTGAGAAGCGAATGTTTAAAATATCAAAAATAAATAAGACTTGCAGCGTTAGCTCACTTCTTAATAATTAACTGCTTGGTGCTTCAAACAGCAACTCTTTCCAGAAAACTGGGAATTGATTTTTTTCTTTTCTTATGAAGATATAGAACAGTTCTGTTTCTAGTTATATCCCCAGCACTCCTACTGTTCAGCACAGGGCAACACTGGCAGATTTGCCGTTTATTATTAATAGTTTTAATTGAGTTGGCACTTCCACCCCAGAAAAATGCTGATTTCTTGTGTTATGCCCCACAGATGAAACCACGATGGGCAACTGCAGCAGCTGGGAGCTTCCTTCCTCTCCTTTCGGTGAATTCTGGAGACAACCATCACCATTCTCCGGCTGATTTCTATCCTTACATTAAACTTCTGCAGGGAAAAGCAGCTGGATGGAGTGAGTTTCCCAACTTCTATGGGTTTAACCTGCTGCAGAACGGGAATACAAAACCTCTAAGAAAGGTTAAACCCCTTCCTGCTTGTTCCTGTTCCCTCGCTTGTCCTTGGTGTCAGGGTCATTGAAGGGTTCTGCAACCCAACAGCGGGAACGGACGCTCTCACCCGCTCCAGCTCAAAACACAAACCATCAGAGCCCTGGCAGCAACGGCTTCAGGAATTATCTGGGGCACCCGGCAGGTGCCGAGTCCCTGCACCGTGACCCCAAATAGACAAAAGCAAGTGTCCCACAGGGCTGCCACCGCGTCCCCACGGCAGACAGCTCGGATCCTGCTCCCCTGCTCCGTGTAAAGTACATCACAGTGTTCCACCAAAGGACTGGCCACAAATGAGAACCCAACCCAGCCTCCGCTCCAGGCACAGGAGTCTCTTTATTGGGAAACTGCTGCATTTATGGGGAATTTCAATCTTAAAATATTTTGCTTGCATTAGGTCTGATTTATGACTAACACACCTGCACTTCAGGAGGTGTTTTAAGGAAACAGAATGGTGTCAATGGACCCATTTTCTCTCTAAGCAGTGAATACAGCATCTCATTTAATTCCTTCCCAACAGCTCTGCTCCTTTTTATCTGCGTACAGCCACAGTTTGATGCTCAGCAAATAACAGGGAAGGGAGAAACAAAAGGAAAGATAAATTTAAAGGCAAGAAAAATTCCAGGAACAAAGGGTGACACTGAGTCTCATCATTATTTACGACCGGCTGCTGGAGGCCGCCCGCAGACTCACCGTCGGTGTGGACCCTCATTGCCGAGGCGGTGATGTCGGTTGTGATAGTGAAGTACGGAATCCACAGATCCTGCAACACAGGAGGTCCCAATTTTACTAAATCCGTAACCTCGCGCTTGAACTAAAGCCCACGTCTAACACAAACCACGGTAACAACCTCTGTGTCTCAGCAGACAGCTGTGGATACAAACCTCTGCACGGATGGAGAAAACCCATCAGCCCCGTGGTTAAGTCCATAAATTTGTTTCTTATGCAACTATTTCAAGCAGAACCAAGGCAGACAAAAATCCTGATTTCCTTTTATTAATAGGAAGAAATACTTGTTCCAGAAGAGTGTCCAGCAGCCAGAGCAGCGCAGAACCCTCATCGCTCACAGCAGAGTTCACCTCCTGCCTGGCAGCTGGTTTTCTGCCAGGTGCAGTGTGGGCGTCTGACGATAACTCTGATCTACAGAGATCCCTGGGCTGTTTATTGCTGGAGGACAAGGTGAAGTGAAGACTCACCTGTGATATATTCGGTTTTTATCCAGGTCACTCAATACCCGCTGCTCTTGGCCTCCCTGGAGACACAGCACTGACCTAGAAACACCTTTGGTCTCACCCAGCACGGCCATTCTTGTGTGTCACCAGCCGGTTCCACGCAGGGTGGTGGTTACCCACTCCACAGCACGTCCCCCGTAACCGTACCCACCATGGATGAGCCTGTAACTGCTCAGCTCCCCGGGACCCCAACCCCAGCCTGCAGCGGGCAGCACCTCCCTCGGCTCGGTTCCTGAGATACCGCAGCCCAGGACAGAGGGAAGAAGGTGAGCCATGGCCTCTCGCCTTGATGACTTTCAGTCTGCACCCCATGGTGACACCGCCAGGGTCAGTTCAGAGCGATGCTGAGAGACCCAATGCTGCCTCGAGTCAAAGGGGACAACACAACGCTTTGTGGCGTTACCTACAGGAACAAGGGATCCTGCAAGGCAGGTCTTCAAGAAGACCCCAGAGGTTGCTTGAGATCCTGCCGAGTAACACAGCAGAGAGGAGCGTGGTCCATAACCACCCAATCAGCGGGATGATGTACAAAAAGAGTGGCCAAGCAAAGTCCTTCACAAGTTCACCCAACAGGGCTGGACCACATCAACAAGCCCTGCTCCTGCCCGGGGAGGTTCTCGCTTTTGTTTCGGCCACGTCTGTACTCACACCCCACCAGCTTTGAAAAACTGCATGGGAAGGCGAGCTCCCATCTGCACGGGAGTTTGGTGGAGAGGGGATACTTTGGAAAGTCTCCATGGTGTCCACGGTAGCCTGCGAAGGGGAAGGAGGAGGACTTGTCTGAAGAAATCAGACTGATGCCCAGAGGAGAGCAGCTGATAGTTCTGTCAACCAGCAAAGCTGAGTCCAGACTGCAGAGGTGAAGCTGCTTTCCCAGCCAGTTCCCGGGACACGGTGGCTGCGTCTGCTCCAGCTGCGCTCTGACATGCCCTAAACTCAACCCAGGGTTTGGACTCCAGCTGCCAGGATGGGCTGAGCAGCAATCCCTCTCTGGTCAGTCCGTGTTCCTGGTGTACGCTTGTGTGCTGTTCAATTCAGAACTCTGCCCTGCCCAGAGGGAGGGCTTTTCCCAGCGAGTTTCATCTCTTGAGCAGCTCTGCAAAGACGGTGGAACTGGGGACTAACAGATGCTGCACCGGTATTACACCCAGCTGGTGTAGTGGATGGATAAAGTGGGATGATGAGAGTATTAGGGGTGCCTGCCCATGCTAAAGACATTCTGATGATTGCAGATCCCAGTGCATTAACCACATTTTAAGCAAAAATAAAGGAATGGGGAAAGAAGTCTATCTGACGCTTCCTTTCATATTCACGCAAACATGTGCACGGAGGAAACTAAACGAGACCTATGACGCAGCAATAAGGACTGCATCTCTCGGATAACGTTTCAGTTTTTTTTGGGAACAGAGCATTATTCAAGTCTGAAACAGGACTTTATAAAAGTCTTTTCTGATTCCTCAAACCTGAGCCTCCAGCTGAGATGATTTGCAAGAGTATTCTGTGCTTCTGGCACAGGGATAAGAATTCTGAAGCCTGGTGCTCTCCAGGAAGGACGGATAATTTCAGAGGAGCAATAACTATATTTCTTGAGCAATATCTTTCAAGCGCCCTGCCCTGGATTTCTGCGTGCTTTCCTGGAAGGACCGGCACAGGCTGATTTCCTCCCGTTGAGCACCTTTGGCTGACATCTGCAGCAGCGATCCCGGGGGCTGCTGGTAACCAGGGCTCCCCCGCAAACGCTGCTGGGAGCCAGGAGACACCTACGGACAAGGGCTGGCAGAGAGCAAATCTGGGAGAAAATGGAAACCTCCCTTCCAGGGTCAGAAACGACAGTTCAGCGTCAGCGCTGCTGCTGCCTGGCCCTGGTGCAGGAGAGGGATGAGGGCACCCGTGGGATGTGCAGGAGTGTCACAGGAGTGCCACCTCGCAGCCACGGGCTGTGAAAAGCAGGATGTGGCCCCAGTGCTTCCTGGTGTTGAGCTTTTACAGAGACAGAAGGGCCAGTGCCCCCCCCCAGCCCCTTAGGTGGGAAGTTCTCAGGTTCTGCCAGCATCACTGTGGATCCTCCCAGGAAGGAACGGTTGTGACCAAGCACCCAAACACCGCCCGTGTCTGTGAGGCTCCGATTAACTCTTGGTGAGATGTATTTCCAGCTGGAAATCATTGCTACCCACCCGCCTCCAAAACCATCCAACTACGGAGAAAAGACGGATGGTCGCAGTCTGGGTGCTTTGACATAATGCTTTAAGAAAACATTTGCACATTTGTTCAAGGCTTGATGTGTCTTGGTTCAGCTGCTGTTACTTTATAAGTTCCCCTTTACACTCGGGCAGCTTTCAGTTTAGTGGCCAGTGGCATGACTGGTCAACCTGCGCCGATAACACGAACTTCAACAGAGGAGTCACTGTCTCCTTGCAGAGCTACACAACATTTCTCCGTATTTATCTGGTGGAAGCCTTCCAATGGGAGGAAACCCTCGGGCACAGCCTGAAGGGTTGAGCCCATGCCCCTCAGCACGCACAAAGGTGATGATGTTGCACGCCTCAGAACTGGATTGCTCTTGGACAAAACCTTCCCGTGACCGCAAGGTTAGAACAGATCATACCCCTACAGCTGTTAAAAACTGTAAGGAAGGAACCCACTGCATCTTAAAGGGATGTACAATGAATTGCTGAAATCCAAAAATAGACCAGGGAAGCTGGGGCCACCAAGGCTCAGAGGAGATTTTCTTCCATGTTGTCACTCCCTCCTCAAAGCTCTGCTCCGCGTCACCCTACAGCCTCCCACTGCCACGTTCCACCCACAACTCACACCAGGGTAACCGAGACCCTGCTCCACGCCGCCGCGAAGGTCTCAGGGCTTTGCACAGGGCAGCTCCTCAGCTCCGTCAGAGCTCCTGAGAGGAGCTGGTTGGGTCCCTGGACCAGCACACATCTCCCATCCCGCACTGCTGGAACCACAGATAGGAGCTGAAGTGCTTCAGGAAGGATACACATGATTAAAGAACTGAGAGGATGGCTTGTGCTGCCCGAATGATGAAACAAAAAATCCCAGTCTCAGAAGGACTTATAACTAACCCCTGCTTGTTCCCAGCACCATCCACTCACACAGCAAAATGCTATTTTAAGCCACGTGATGATTAATCACTTACTTTCATACTTGCATTTAAGTAGGGAATGTTTTAGGTTATTTTTAATTAATACATTCAAAGTATATATAGTGTTAATTTTCTACATAATCTTTCATCACAAGGATTCCAAACACAGCAATAATTTGATTAAAACTGCAAATAAGGTAAGATTGCAAGACCACCCAAACACTCTCTAAGCTTGGTGACCTGGGAAGACAACCGCTGATAATGTGCTTTATCAGCCGCTACTGCTGGGGGACTGAGGCTAGCTGGGATTCTGAACGCGGCCACCGGCTCAGGCAGACCATACAACACCTGGCAATCACTGACCGTCACCAGATGCAAACTGGGAAGCGATACACTTGGATGTTACTGCACTGTTCATAAACACTCACTCTAGCTTCAGAAATAAAATTTAAACAAGCCAACCCCATTGCTACCTTCTTCAAGACCTTCTTCTGGTGTGCCCTAAGCGTCTCTTCGACTCGATTTGTAGAAAAATAATGATAAAACAGCCTCAGCAATTGTACTTCAGTGACAGTTTTACAAACGCTCAAACACAACAGAAGTGGCTACAAATACATCTACTCCTTGTGTTCTCTAAATCCGCCAAAATGAAAGAATAGGCTCCTTGCTATACTCAGGTCACATCACATTCACAGGTTTAACATGTTTTCACTCATCCCCCAGCCCCAGATCTCATATTAGCATGCAAGGAAGGTATTGCTGCTAGAACAGAACAGCGACATCGTTACTGTACAGAAAGAGAAGCACCCTACCTCTATCTGCTTATCTTTGAAGATGTTGTTGATGCTTTTGTTAAACGCCGCTCCAGAAAACATTGAGGTTATTGGATATGTCAGATCTAGAATAGTCTTAAACACTGAGTTCATAACCTAAAAAGGAAAAAAAATAAAGCAGTTCAAAGGTAAATACATGCAGGAGCCCACACTAACGTGTGCATTAATGTATGCAATTCCAGAGACATCATATTCCAGATGCTACAGCACATTGGAAGCATTGCTATTGCCAGGGCAAAAGTTGTCAAGGGGATGGAAATACAACTACAAAAACTGCAACCAGTAACTCCTTGTATGGTGTCAGAAACGGAAAACAAAAAGCAGCAGGCTTTGCAGCCCCTTTGCAATCAGGCTGTGGAAGAACGTGCATTTGCGTTGCTTCCCCTCTGCCCACCAGTTCTAAAGCAGCGGGCACAGGCACGGGTTTCTGCCTTAACAAATGGACATGAACCATATCCTTTAATTCTTGATTTTCTTTTTTAAATAACCAGAAGATATTATTAGTTATCTCCCTCTTCATCATCCTTTCCACAGCGTACGTGTGGTTCACCGGCATGGAAAGGAAATAACAAATCCATGCTATGGGAAGCTGTATCTTTATCCATCTCTTCTCATTCGTGGATCACACCCAATTTTTCTTCCAGTCTTCAATCTTTTATCTGCCTCAGCGTAAGCACTTACAAAAATGTGGATGTGATTCTTTGGGACCACAACAAGGTTAAGTCAAGTCAAATTTGCAAGTTGAAGAGCTTCAAAGCAAGTTGAAGAGCTCTAAACACACTTTCTATATATCAGTGTTGGTTATTTTTCATTCCCAAAGGGAGCTGGGCTCTCCACCCGCTGCTTGGTGTTTAGATGCTGCTGCAGGCACACTGCATGAGCTGGACCAACCCCGTCCCGTGGGGTTCCCAAAGCTCGACACATACCCAGGGTGTCACACAGGCACTGCCAGATGTGTCTCTCCTAAACACACACATACAGTAATTAAGCTTTCAGGGATTCTTTTATTATTTTTATTTTTTTTTTCCTCCATTTCAAACACATTGCATCTGTGCACTAACCTCCAAGATAAAATGATGAAAGCACCTAAACCGTATGGCATTCTGGCCTCTGTATTTGTCCCATCACCACGCTATTGGTCTCACCTCCTAGTAAAACCTCACAAAATTCAGTGCCCAATATACAACATCATACCCAGTTCAAATGCAATAGAAGACCCAAAAACCCCAATTAACTCATTCGCAGTTAAATAGTGTTTCACTGGGTAAAATATTTCTATTAGAGGAAATATCTTCTCTCTCTACATGTGCTCTATAATTTAACAAACAGCCAGCATGGCGTTGTACCCAGGCAGAGACCTGCAGCATGAAGCAGCCCTAAACCTGCAGCCTAGCGAAGGCTCCGGCATCCACATCTGCCACGATTTACTCCAGCAGTGATTTAAAGGAGAGCAGGACTAGCCCACACTGTCCTGGCCAGCTGCTTTCAAATATACACATTTATCTGCCCAGAGAATACATGTCCAAGTGTAAGAAAAAAAAAAATATTCCTAAAAACAAATATATAAAGAGGAAAGCTGGGAGAAGGGCAAAGCCTGAGCACAAACCCAGTTATGAACCCGTCACCTTCACCCAGACCCTCACTGTAGGTTCTGATGGGGCGAGGACAGTGTGCCAGCCTAACTATAGACACGCTACCCACAGCTGCAGTGTTCAATGGAATTACTTTTGTACTTAAAACAGAGATTTGGTCTCTGACATTACTTAGAATGATTAAATCGGGGAAAGACTTTTACGACAAGTCCTTTATTTGATACTGAAGAAAAATCTCTCCAAGCCAGCAGCAAACACTGGGCTGTCCTTGTTGCAAATGATCTTTACAATGCTGCGCCTCTACATTTTCCCTGCAATTAAGGCTCGCAGGAATCGTGTACATGAACAAACTACTTCTAATTAATGGTTATTGCTTAATATTCTCATGTCTCAGAAGGGGAAGATGCCCTTTTAGCAGATGCTGGTGGCCAACACTCTCCCTCAGCCTTCCAAGAATAGCAGCTCCCACTTACCGCTCTCAAAATAAATGAACTTAAAGATCACCCTTTGGAAAGGCAGCCAGAGCCTTCCGACTTCTGCTCCACTTCGCACATCTCTACTAACCAACAGCCCAAGGGCCAGCCCTGGTGTCCTCAAGAACGCCGCAGCTCCGGCTCCCACAGCACGGTGACGGGAAGCGCAGCCTGGAGGCACCTCTGCCAGCTCTCCTGGGACAGAGCAGGAATTCTGCAATTCCTCATTAACGCCTCCTGAACCTTCATTCCTACAGCTCTGCTGCAAGATGGGCTTTTTTACTAAGACGACATTCCAACCCAAAATTATTTTTAAGAGCTTCCCCATGGTGTAAGGCAACTTCCAGAGGGAAGGGAGCAGAACGAGAGCAAACGCAACAACGATGGACAAAGCTGGGGATGCCCCATCCCTGGAGGGGTTCAAGGCCAGGCTGGATGAGGCTTTGGGCAACCTGGGCTAGTGGGAGGTGTCCCTACCCATGGCAGGGGGTGGCACTGGGTGGGCTTTAAGGTCCCTTCCAGCCCAAACCCTTCTGGGACTCTATGAAATCTCAGTTGCAATCTGTGGCTATTTTGTTCTTTGATGCAGAATGGCTGGAAGCTGCTGTCAAACCTCAGGGTGTCCCAGGATTTTTCAATGTTCCCGAGCATAAAAAAAAGCCAGGGTATGGGAAAACTTGTTGCAAGAACGAAAATTTAAAACAGCAGAATAGATTAAATATTTTTTAAACTGCTAGAGATAGCATCCAGAATTTCCTTTAGTGCCTTTGCAGTGTTCACATATAAAGTTTCAAAGAAACAAGTGAAAGAATTCACATAGAAAAAGATGTTAAAGGCAAAATAGAAACGTAACTCAGGCCAACAGTTTCAGATAAACACTACGGGGCAATATTTATCCCAAAGGCAGGAATTACAAATAAGAGAAATTCAGATTTAACAGTAAACTATGAAGAAATCTCAACTTGAAGAAAATTAAAATTAATCCATCTAAGAAACTGTAGCTATCTCAGAGTCCAGTAAAGGAGAGAGGCAAGGGAAGTGAATGTATGTTTAAAAACAGATTCAGATGTCCTGATCCTCTAATATTAACATGCCATTTGCATGACCATTAATTGACATGGTCACTCCAGGGCAGGAATAGGACGGGTTGGTGCCTTATCTGGACACTTCAAAGCAATAGGTATGCTTGGATTTTGCATGCAACCTTTTAGATGAATTTCCCAAATTACAATACTTGATTTAGGGTTAACAATACAAAAGGAATAGTAAATATGAAAACGATTTTTTCTGTACCTCTTGTTATAACACACGTTTAAGATTTAACAAGAACACACCACACCCAGCATTTTTGTTTTCTGTCGTTAATCATCTCAAACAGAATTCCACCCGAGAGGCAACCAGAGGGAACGCTTCAGCTGGCTTACAAGGGAAAAGCAGCCTGCCCTACTTTAATTTTTGCAAACAGAGAAGCCTAGTGAATAAAACCTTCCAAACAGGTTGATAAAGTTTTAAAGACGCAATTAGAAAGCCCAGCCCGCAGCAGAGCGCCCTGGCAGGACGACGCTGTCCTCGAGCGCCAGCCGGATGACACCCAGAGCGGGTTCTCCGCCGCAGCTCATCAACCCCATTTCAGAGACAACACATTCATTTACGTGTGATCTGGAGCAAACCCCTTATTTATTTAGGATTTTCTGTGCACTTTAAAGCTGCTGTAGCTCCTGTTACCTTTTGCTGTGCCTGAGCCAGTCAGTCCCAGTAACCAAGACTCCCATCACCGGGAGGACTGGGACCAGTTTATTTTTCTGATCTCCTCTGGTCAGGAGCTATCTTTCCCATAATATCCTGCCTGCTCCTCAAGCCAATCTCATTTGGCAACGCTTGCCTGCCCAGCTCGGCTGTTGTGTTTGCTTGCAGGGATCTGTCCTTGTAGCTGCTGTTGCACAGGAGGAGCTGGCACCGGAACAAACACAACAGCGTGGGATGCAAACGATGTACAAAACACACCGCACCTACCGGGATGTTCTCCCTCTGACCTCCACCAGGAAAGGCCCATTTCCAGTCCCCGTTCCACCCTTCCTCACCGGCCCTTCTGCTGGTTCCCCGCTGCCCCGTCTCCTCCGCGCTCCATCCTCAACCCACCCCGGGTCCAGCACGGGCTGCGGGTGTGGGATCACCCTGTACGGCAGAGACCACCCTTCCTCCTCCAAACCCCCGATGTAACGGATCACGAAGGGCATCGGGACCCAGTCTGGCAGCAGGCTGATCTGACCCAAACTGGGGCTGATGGTTCTGCCCCCCAGCAGCACGGCTGCCTTCGCACGGGAGCTGACCTGGCCAGAAACCAGCACGAGGGGGGGGAAAAAAGTGATTAATTTTTGGCCAGATCAGCTCATTAAAGCACAGTATCCCCCACTGCACCAACACGAGGGCAGCGTTAGGGCGAGGCAGAGCCTCACGACTGAGACCTCAGGAACCCCCCTGTTTATTTTAGCTGTTGCACAATCACAGACAGCAAAGGACTGCGGCATCCTGCCCAGCAATTCCTCATTCTCACAACGGGAAGCTTTTCAGCTGCACATTCCTATAGCCACATTCTCTTCAACAGTAGAATATTCCATTCTTTGTGAAATATTTATACTTTGAAATATTAATTCTCCAATTAAAAAAAACAAGAAAACCCAACAAGCTGCATAGATGAAAGTTTTTGTTTGTGTGTTTTGCTGGTTAAACCCAGGTACAGAAGACACACAGAGGCAATCTATAGTAACTAGCCTGGCTGGTAAATTTTCATAACCCTCTGTATTTTGACAAAGGAGTCATTTATTTCTTTGTTGCTTCATTAGGTCCAGAAAACAAATCCCATTAAAAATAGCCTTTTCTCCCAGCCCCAAGCGTACAACTAGAGATACACTGATTTCTAAAAATACCAAAAAGAGAAATAACTGCAGGACAAAACCAACATTTATTTTGATGGATTTAAACAAAAAAAGTAAATAAAAAATTCAGAGTTACCTAATCCATCAAAACAAAGACATTTCAAGAACTCCCACAGGCTAAAGCACCAGGCTGCGAGGTTTTGCACAAAGAGCACTCAGCAATAACCTTCACCACCAAAAGCTCCCAGGCTTTAGAGGAGCAGAATCAGCAGCTTCTGGAGCAGGGAGAGCTCAAGCCTTTGTGAATAACGTCGGCTTCACGAAGGATGCTCCCCAGAGCATCCCATGCCCAGCAGCCGCCTCCTGCAGCGGTCCTGGCCGGCAGCGGTGCTGCTCTGGAGGACAGCAGGAACAGTCCTGCAGCTTTTGGACACGAGGAATTTGTGGTTTATCTGATGGATTAGTCACCTCGCTCATACCCGGTCCCTTCGGGTGGATCTGTGAGCCCCCAGCAACCCCCCGGTGTCACACGCAGAGCTGGTGCTCAGGGAAGGGAGCTGCTCTCCTTGCTCGGTCTCCAGTCGCTGCAGCACGATACCAGAGGAAATAACTCAGAATAGCCCCTGTTAAAAGGATTTGTAATCCCTCAAGCTACTTTGTACATTAGCTGTGCTCTGATCTCGGAGAGAGGGCTTTCATGGCTTTCTCCCATGTACAATGCACCCGTTTTGCTGGACAGTGCTGTCAGCAGTGAAAAGGGCTTCAAACAGAGCCGTCTTTGCTTTTTTTTTTTTCATTCTCAAACCCTTGAACAATTTCTGGTTTGGATGGGGACCTGGCAAGCTTGTCAGAACACTCATGAAAAGCCTCAAGAAAACCCGTTCTTCATTAGTAAGATGACACGTTTGCTCTAACAGAGGTTATTAACCTCTCCTCCAGCTACTTACTTGCAGATTTCAAGGTACCAACACCCGAAACTGGGCCAGAACCTGCCCTTTCCTTTGTGAAACCTTCTCTGAGCTTTGCAATCTGTGCTCAGAAGTTAATCAATAGATTAAATCCCTTCACTTCGTCTTTAACTATTCCTGGTCAAAGCATGTGTGCTTCCAGAGAAGGCTGACAAAGCTGGAGAGCCGCAATGCTGGAGATGAGCCGGCTCGATGGGAGCACAGCCCCGGGAAGCCCAGAGACCAGCACTGCCAGCTCTGCATCCCCCCTGCACGGGAGAGACCTGACAAGTCAACAGCCAAGAGGAGATAATCCTCCGGACAGATGCAGGGAGGAAAAGTCCATCGCTCCAGCCTAACCGAGAGCACGAGAGAGGGCAGCGAGCCACGGAGCGCTGGAGGCGAGGGAAACATCGCGGGGAGGCGTCACCGCGTGCGCGCCCTGCTCAGGGGCTGTCCTGTAAGCACCCGATAGCCAGCCGTGGGGGAAATAAAGAGTGCAGGGTTAAATGGGAGCCTGACACAAGTCAGTAGGGTTGGTTTTATGTCCTTAATCTCTGACCTCCCGCACTTTTGCAACTGCAGGGAACTGCTCTGTATCATAACCTGTTCATGTTGCGGGTGCTTCCCAGCCAGGCACAGGCAGCTCTTCCATAAAAATCCACAAAATCCACATTCTTCTAGCAAACAGTGCAGAGAGGTGAGACAGAGCCCCGCGGTCCTCTGCCCACCAGGACAGCACCAACGCGCGGGGGCCTCAGTGCGTGTTTTATCGCCCCAGACTGTCTAGCTTGCAAGGTTTCTTGCCCAGAGGCAGCAGATTTCATCTCAAAGCCGTGGCAGGTCAGAAGGCACTTGGGAAAGGTAAGCAGTACACACCTGCCAGCGACAGCCCCTATCTCCCCCTAAAACTCAAGATCTAAGCAGACCCAGACCTCAATCCAATTCTGAAAACTCCCCGCGGTGCTTCCCTTTCAATACACCGGTGTGAAAACAGGGTTTTCATATAACCAACACAAAGATGGACTCACACTGCAACTCCCAAGCTTCAGAAATAATGTTGGTCTTCACCATCAGCCAGTTTGAACCAGGCACAACCTGGTGCTCGCACAATTTTCCCCCAATATCCTATCAATAAACTCACCTGCAGAAGTCACGATTTAAAACAGCCTTCCCCAAACCTTGGTTAAACTGTGAAAATATGGGTCTGCTTGTATTAAATACTTGACTAGTTTATGAAATTGCTGCTGACACAGAGAACAACCAGTCTGGAATTCTCAGGCTACACCGTGAATTACACATTTGGTATTTAGTTTAGAGAAGAATTACCTCTGTCAATCAGTTCCACTGAAAAATGACAGCATGTGAGAACGAGAGAGAGAAAATTACACAAAAGAGAAACACATTTGGTGAGAGTTGGAAAGGAAACAGATTCCAGCACGTAAAAAGAGAAGATCAAACAAAGATAAACACAGGCTAACACACTTGCACAACATCACTCCGCGGTTATACTGTGCCTGGAGTTTGTCTCCCGCCGCCACGGGGCCGGCGACGCCTGCCAGCAGGACAGAGCAGCTTCCCCAGCACGGGCATTTTTTGTCACACAGATACCCAAGTGCAGGTGGTGACACCTTCCTTGGGTGGCTGCTGCCCGCTAAGGGTCGCGGTTAAGCTCCTACGCTCCATCCGAGGAGAGCAGGGTGACGTTCCCCGTGCTTACCATGGCCCACTGCCTGGCTTTGATCCTCATCTGGTTGTAGCTGCGCTCCTCGGCGTACAGGGCACCCATGAAAGCACCGATGGATGTTCCTCCGATCATATCGACCGGGATGCCAGCTTCAATCAGCGCTCTGATAACTCCCACTTGGGAGCAGCCCCTGTGCCAAGAAAAGAAAAAGGAAAAAAAAAAAAAAAGACATTATCAGACAAACAGCCATTGCAGGAGGAAAAAACAGGAACGGCAGCTTCTGAAGGAACTCAGGTGTGCACCAGCTGAGCTGCCCATCTCTTGCTGAACAAGCCTCCATGCCAGAACACGTCATGAATGCAGAAATCCTCAAACCCTGAGGATCCCAGGAAATGCACATCACCCGGCTGGACTTCGGTATGAAAGGCAGAGATACAAAAACAGCAGCCAGGAGTCAAGCCAGCGGACGTGCGAGGGAAGAGTCAACGTGGCTTCGTGGGAGCAACCCATCAAATGTCTGCTAGGGTCCTTCCAAAGCAGCCAGGAACGGCTGGAGCTCACACACCTTCCCACCAGAGTCTCTTCCAGCGATTCTTTAAGCAACTCAGCCAGCCTGGGGTCGCAGGATGGGTCACTGCATGGACTAATAATGAACTGGAAGATGGAAAACAAAGAGCAAGGAGAGACAAGCGGTGATGAGAAGGCAGGAGGTTCGTTCTGCACCCACACCCGGGAAAGGGGCAGCTGAGGAGGCGGCGTTGGAGGAGGATCCAAGCTCCTTCAGGACAGCGAATGGATTCCTTGATTTCAGAGTGCAGACGGAGCTCAGAGCAATGACGGAGTCAAGTGATAACCAACAGATGAACCTTGGGGACAAGAGAAAACCAGAAGTAGCAATGGCCCTGCAGCAACGGGCTCTTTACCACCTGCGCTCATGCCGAGATTGTGCAACCGCCGGGGAGGTTCTCTGAGAAATATTAACCCACCATTCAGTGGAAATGCAAACAGCAAATCAAAGAAACCAGAATAAAACAGAAGAACATACATCCAGGATGGACCAGCATTTGGGAAACTGCAAGCAAGCGCAGACTTTGCACTAAAAAGAAAAAACAGCAGAACTAAAAAATGAGAGAGAAGCACAAAAGATGACAAGAATATGGAAAGGACTTCAGGTGAGAAGAAACCAGACTCGAATCTCTGACTGGGGAAAATCACGACTGATGGGAGAGACACAAGGGCCAGCCAATGATACCCCCATGCAGAAAGTGTAAAGTGAAGGAGAGAACTTACACAAGGGCACGTGTATGTAAAGCACAAATCGGGGAAACCACTGTTAGCACCTGCTGAAGGGGTCAAATCATGGATTAAACACGGGCTGGACGAATCTAAGGTACCAGGCTGTCAGAGGCTACCCATCGTGAAAAACTGGAGGTGCAACCTTGGTTCAGGAAGGTCAGAAGCTGCTAATTGTTGCAAGTATTTGTTTCTGAAGCAATCGCTACTACCTACCATCAGAAGCCAGACAGCAGAGGTGGAACATTGGATCTGATCTTACAAAAAGAGTGATCTCTGAAGGGAAGGAGGGATCCCTGTCTGCTCTATAGAAGCGGAGAAATTAGCAGCAAATGCTGATCTTGCCTTCTAACCAGTACAAAATTACAGCCTCTGGTTTCAAATGCTTTGTCCAATTAATACCAAGTAAGTCAGTTCCACCTGGATGGATGCTCTGCAGTCAAAGCCATACAGCAGTAAAAATCTTCCTTTTCTCATTTTCATCCCATTTTTCTGCTCCCCCACACTTTGCTCTATTTCCGTCCCCTTTCCCCTTGCTGTTTACATCCTATAAATACTTGCTAACAGCTGCCAAGTCCACCCTAGGTGTCATTTGGCCAGGCTATGCTGAACACATTCTTTCCATCTAAATAAATCCCCTCCAGCTGCTGAAACACTCAGAGACAGGTTCTGGGTCAGGCTGGTGGAAATGACTGCAGTGACAGATCTGCACCGGTGCGATCCGAGAGCGGAAAATGGCTCGCTCTGCTTTCCTCTCCAAATTCCCCTTCCCCGCTTTACTCTTGCTTCTTCTCACAAGATGCCTTAAGCCAAAAGAACTATATTTTATCCCATTGGTTTTGGGCTTTTAGATCGCAGCTATGTTTGCAATCTGCCTCCTGTGCACTTACTGCTGCCTCAGCCCTGCGCTAACTCACTGCCTGACAGACCTTCCGCCATCCAACCTGCTTTCTGGATCGTGGGGATTTGTTAGGACACGTTAAGTTCTGTAAAGCGTTTCCTGCCTGAAGGGCAATTTTACACCGGCCAGGACCCGCTCCAGAACGGATTCTCTCCCTTTAACCTCTTCCCAAACTGGATCTCCTCATTCAGGCATTCACGCATCCATAAAACACGGGGGATTTGATGGGATCACTCTGGATTTAACTTTGCCATATGATGCGCTTGAATAAATAATAAAGGTTATTATTACTTCTGTTGACAAGCCATCACCTCTGTGTGTTACCGCCAGGGACTCTGCGTGACAATCTTCCAGCCAAATGCGTAACAGCCACGTACCTCCAACAGACGCGCCCATTTCAAAGCACTGACCCTCGAGATGGGAATGACAGTACTTTTGCTCAGAAAGGGACCTCTGATCAACTGCCAGACTAAGTTTGTTTCCTTTACACACAGCTACAAAGCTGCTTCTTCCAGTGCCAGCATCCTGAACAGCTTCATGCTTGAATCCATTTGTGCCAACTAAAATCCCAAAGAGAGTCTGAATCCCAAAGTGCCTGATCCCACCTCATTTCTCCACGCACCACCTGGCCTCCTACAGACATTACTTCTCCCTAAATATTCTTCCCCTCCCTACACCTTCAGGCCATCGTTACCCCAGCAATGCTATTACGTGAAACTTTTCAGCAGCTCCTCGCAGTCGGTTCTCTCTTGGCCACTTCTTTGCAGCTCAGGGCGTCTGTAAACACGGGCGGGCTGCCAAGGGAAGCTGTGTGCCGGAGCCGGCGCCGTGCCAGCAGCACGCATCCCGTCGCTGACAACTTGCCGGTGCATGGTGGAGAGCCGGGGTGGGCAGCGCTCACACTGCAGCTAAGGAGGAAAAGAAATCGAAGCCGGGAGCGACGTCCCTGTTAGCAGTCACAGTGCTAGTGCAGGAAAAAAAAATAAAACAAGCCGGTACCATGTGCTTCTTGTAATACCAGCACAATTTCACAGGGATCTGTCCCGTTTCAGGGCAAGGTGTGAAAATACAAGAGTTTGGCAGGAGGAGAACAGAGGGCGGTTGCTCATGGCAGCGCTGTACGTACACATCAGTGCCAGAGCAATCGCGTGGAGCGGCGGACGGACGGGGAATCTCCAGTTACGTGGCTGACAGCTGGATGTCACTGACCCCGGAGGAAAGGCGGAACAGGGGAATCCTCCTGGATACAAGGAAGGAATGTCTTGACGTGGGGATGCACAGGATGCTGCTGGCCCTGCACCCGCAGCTGTCCTTCGCCTAAAGCCGCCTGACGGTGCAGCTGGATGGAGCATTTCCCCTGCCAGGATTAGCGCCTGTCCCCAGGGCAGTGACAAGGACTCCTGGCATCAAGGACAAACGACCTAGAGGATTTCTTTCCAATAATTTGCACCAGAACCCAAAGATTTGCCCAAGAACTGCAGAGTCTATATATTAACACAAACCCTTTTCCCTCGTACATCACTGCCTAGGACAGTGTGATTAATGAGTGCCCTTTGCAGAAAGAGCAGGAACAGCACCAGCCAGCTTGGGGAAGAACTGGAGAGAAGAGCCAGGCTCCGTTTTCACCCCCGGCATCACCTGGCAACCCGATCAGACCCACGGGCTGCTCCACACATCAACCGCCCCACAGTGCCACTGACTGCACCACTGACCTAAAAAGCCTCCAAAAGCAGCACCGTGCCTCCTAAATGTCAAGTGCCATCTCTTTGTACTAATCATAGACTCACAGGATGGTCTGGGTGGGAAGGGACCTTAAAGCCCATCCAGTGCCACCCCCTGCCATGGGCAGGGACACCTCCCACTAGCCCAGGTTGCCCAAAGCCTCATCCAGCCTGGCCTTGAACCCCTCCAGGGATGGGGCATCCACAGCTTCTCTGGGCCCCCCGGGCCCCTGCCTCACCCCCCGCACAGGAAAACATTTCTTCCTCACATCTCATCTCCATCTCCCCTCTTTCAGGTAATGATCACAAATAAGTGACCAAGAAGCAGGGAGAGAAGTCACAGGGTTGGAGACGTGCCTCCCTGCACAACACGGCTCAGCAAGCAGAGAGCACCGAGCTTCTGCCAGAAGGTCTCGCAGGGAAGTTCCTGCTCCCAAAAGAAGCCCTTGCTTTCATCCCCGGGGAAATGCTGCTGGCATGTGACTGTAATGCACAAAGGCCAGCGCACAACTGATCAAATTCTTCTGCGAGCCGTCCACATGTCTGCTCCGCACGTGCCTGCCAGGGCTCGGATCAGAGGTGAGTCCCGGGGAGAGGCAGCAAACGCAGCAGGACAGCTCGGACTGAAGCCCAGCAGGGATGCAGGCTGTGCTCGGCTCAGGGGCTGCAGAAAATCCCATTAATGCAAAACCGGAGGCTGTGCATCACCATTT